ATTACACTTTGCTGCTGCAAGTGTCCCTATTAACCCAGCCTTAAAAGACTTCACCGTTCTTATTTTAGATTCTGGATTAAGTGAAATGAACTGTTGAGCTTTATGATAAATTGGTTTCCTTCACTGCTGAGTTGTTTTTTAGCTGTGATCTTTTGAATGTGTATAGAATTTGTATCAATAAAAGAGATTTACTATATTTAGTGATCAAAATCCTAAATCCCCATTACAGTACTACAAGAATATATTGTTAACTCCTCTTTCACCCTCCCTGGGTCATTTGTACCACACACCTAGAAGGTAAAAGTACCTCCAAGACAATTTCGTACTTAGATAAATTTTATCCCATAGGAAAGGAAGAAGAGTCTGAACTTAGGACCAGATTTTCAAGATGGCCTCCATTTTTGTGCCTGTAGTTTGTGGGTACAAAAAATCATAGCTGCAGTGTAGGTCACTTAAATATCTAATAACACCAGCAGATCAGATACTTGGAAATCTACGTGTCCTAAATTGCTGGTTCAAAATCGTATGCCGTTATGTATGCCTGCAAAACTCTGTGTGTGTGCGTTATGCTACCCATAAAAACTATACTCAGTAGGTGTGTTCTTTTTAATAAGCAATTAACCACTCCTCTCCATTATATAAACCAGGTTAGGTTTCTGCAGAACTTGGATAATGAAACTAGTCTGAGCTGTTCAGTTAGTTTCACTTTTAGCTGTCCTGCTCTAGTGCAGTTGTAGGGATTAGTGTTGTAGGGATGTGTGAATCCTCCAGCATCAACTGATAACCAAACCAAAGTTTTAATTTAGGTTCATAGACTTTAAGGCAGGGGTAGGCCAGATCGGCCCTTCAAACGTTTTAGTCTGGCCCTCGAGCTTCCGACAGGGAGCAGGGTCAGGGGCTTGCCACGGCTCCGCGCGGCTCCTGGAGACAGCGACGTCTCACCTCCAGCTCCTACACGTAGGGGCAGCCAGGGGGCTCCACACACTGTCCCTGCCCTCCCCCTCCAGAGCCCTCACCCCCTCCTGCACCCCAGTCCCCAATTTCATGAGCATTCATGGCCTGCCATACAATTTCCATACCCAGATGTGGCCCTCAGGCCAAAAAGTTTGCCCACCCCTGCTTTAAGGCCAGAAGGACTATCATAGTCATCTAGTCTGACCTCCTTCACATCGCAGTCCACAGAACCTCATCCACCCACTCCTGTAATAGACCCATAACCTCTGGCTGAGTTACTGAAATCCTCAAACCTTAATTTAAAGACTTCAAGTTACAGAGAATCCACCATTTACACTAGTTCAAACCAGCAAGTGACCCATGCCCCATGCTGGAGAGGAACCCCCAAGGTCTCTGCCAACCTGATCTGGGAGAAAATTCCTTCTCAACCCCAAATATGCCAATCAGTTAGACCCTAAGCATCTGGGTGAGACCTATCAGCCAGACATCTGGGAAAGAATTCTGTATAGTAACTGAGCCCTCCCCATATAGTGTCCCTTCTCCATTGGAGATATTTGCTAATAGCAGTTGTGGATGGGCCATATGCCATTGTTGCCAATATCACCATATCATCACCTCCATAAACTTATCATGTTCAGGCTTGAACCAGGTTAGGTTTTTTTGCCCCCACTGCTCCCTTTGGAAGGCTGTTCCAGAACTTCACCCCTCTGATGGTTAGAAACTTTTGTCTAATTTCAAACCTAACCTTATTGTTGGCCAGTTTATATCCATTTGTTCTTGTGCCACCATTGGCCCTTAACTTAAATAACTTCTTCTCCCTGTTGTTTATCCCTCTGATGGAGGGAGGGAGAGGAGTGATCATATTTCCCCTCATCCTTCATTGCATTAGGCTAAACAAGCCAAGCTCCTTAAATCTCCTCTTGTAAGGTAAGAGGTGCTCCATTCCTGTGATTATCCTCATAGCCCTTCTCTGCACCTGTTCCAGTTTGAATTAATCTTTTCTTAAACATGGGAGACAGAATTGCACACAATATTCCAGATGAGGTCTCGCCAGTGCCTTGTATAATTGTAGTAACACTTCCCTATCTCTTGGAAATACCTTGCCTAATGCATCCTAGGATTGAATTAGCCTTTTTTATGGCCGCATCACACTGATGGCTCAGAGTCATCCTGTGATCAACTAATACACCCAAGTCTGTCTTCTCCTCCTGTTACTTCTAACTGATATGTCCCCAGCTTATAGCAAAAATTCTTGTTAGTCCCTAAATGCATGACCTTGCATTTTGAACTATTAAATTTCATCCCATTTCTATTACTCCAGTTTTCAATGTCCTCCAAATCTTCTTGTATGATATTCCAGTCCTTCTGTATGTCGGCAATACCTCCCAGCTTTCTGTCATTTGCAGATTTTATTAGCATACCCCCACTTTTTATGGCGAGGATACTAATGAAAAACTTAAATAAGATTGGTCCTAAGATGGGTCACTGAGGAACTCTTTACCTTTACCTCTGTCCTTAATTACTTTCTCTTTCAAAATATGTTTTAAGACCTTGCATACAGTGAGATCAAACTAATGGGCCAGTAGTTGCCCGGATCACTTTCTTTTCCTTTCTTAAAAACAGGTAATATATTTGCAATTCTCCAGTCATAGACTACAACCCCTGAGTTCACAGATTCCTTAAAAATAGTGTTAAATGAAATGTTTACATGTTTTTTAATAATATTTTCTAGCTTTGTAAAGCTTTCTTTCCTTTTTCAAAACCTAAAATTTTAACTTGAACTACTGGATAAAATAATTTTGATTTAAATTGTGCCATTGTTTTCAGGCTGACACTTCCTTTGAGAGTCTTTTGGTTCTCAAGTACTGTGTCTACGGGCTTGTTTTTATGGCTCCAGTAAGCCAGAAAGGTGGTGGGGTATGGACCTCACGTCACAGATAAAAATCTTGATAATGGCTTTTACAATGGTGAATGTTACTATAAATAATCTCTCAATAAATCACTTTAGAGATTAGAGTCTGTAGGCAAATTAGAAATCAGGTTCTTTGAGACCTACCATTCTTTTTTAACATTCTCCAGAGTAGTTTTACTGCTGACAAAATCTTATTTAAATCTGCCGTACAGCGTACCCTACATTTGTATTGTACACAAAAGTGCCACCCTTTGATATGTGCCTTTGCAGTGTACAAAATGGCTAAAGTGATTAAGCTAAACTAATGCACTTAATTCTTGCAAGTCCTCCCCTGCACATTGGAAAGGAAAGGATGCATATGCTTAGCAGCATTGTCATCTTCCTCAGGTATTTTTGCTACTTGTCCCTTTTTCACTGCTTAATTGTCCAGAGTTTCCTGGGCTTTTGGAATCTGTTTCAAAATATCCCTGTCACTTTGGAAAGCAGAAGCATGTGTCAAATCCAGCCTGGGTTTTTAGTGACTGGGGTGGGATTTTCAAAAGTGTGTGAATTGCTTGTGCTCCTAAATCTCTTGGGTGCTTTCAAAAATCCCACCCACTTACCATGCATTGATTGCACTTTGACCTAAGGAATCTTGACCCATATCCACAAAAGGGTTTAGGCATTGCAATGCTGAGTGGTCACAGTGCCTAATTTTTTAGGTGCCCAGAAAATCATAGGATCACCACCGTGATTCCCCAAAGCCAAGTTAGGTGCCCACGCTCCTGTGCAATGAATGGGGAGAGACTGGAGCCTTAGAATGGGACCCACAAAATCCAGTGCACTAGGCAGGGAGCCACCTAAGCTAGCCAAGGAAGATATCAACGACGAGGAGAGGGAGGTGCTAAACCCTGTCCCTCTCATGGAGACAGATGCCTCCCTGCATCCCAGATTTAGGCACCTATCTTGGTTAGCAAGCCACAAATGGGAATCAGCTGCCTGCCCCTAAGGCATTTTCTGTGGGAATGAGTTAGGCACCTGCCTCGCTCCACACAAAACATCTGGAGGAGGAGCTGCTGCTGCTGCCCCCACCCACCTTATAACTTTTAGCCTAATGGTTAGAACACTCGCGTGAGTTCTAGGAGACCAGAGTTTAATCCCCCTCCCTCCACCACCACCATCTGGTGGGAAGAGGAGGGCATATTAAGGATAAAAATATGATGTTAGTCTTCAGTATGTTTCCATTTTTTACCAGCTAGACCAGGGCTGCCAAACGATTGAAATTCTAGAGCAGACGCATCTAGCAAACATCAACAGGTGTCAGTTTGACAGAGAAATTTGTTACAGGCTTATCACCTTGAGGAAGCTGTGGGTTTTTCAGCCAAACTAAGAAGGAATATTACACCACTTGCTGTTATAGATCACTGGGGAAATGTAAGAGAATTATATCAATATTCACCAGTAAATTAACAGTTAAACTCCCGCTAATATAAGATCACTGTCAGTAATATAAAATTACTGATCTTCAGTGATCAGACCTACATGTGCAATCACATGCCTGAATCTCTTGTCTGGAAGAGTCTGTCTTGCCATATATATGAACAAATCCCTGATTTGCACATGCAAAGTGGACTTACATCTGTGTCCATACAGATGGATGAGGATCAGATTATTGAAGATCAGGCCATCCTAACTGTTCTAACACAGTGAGAGATTAATGTGAAAGGATTTTGCTACTCAGATTGACCCATTGCACTTTTGTTCCATGTGAACCAAGTGCACACTGGTCTGGTAGATTATGACATAATATCATGTATTCATGTGACTTTGCATTTTGGTAGTTTAAATCTTACTGTGTTTGGGGGTGGCTTGGATATGTTATTCAAGTTACACCATGTACAGTGCAACGCAGAATTAGTAGTAGACTTCTCCTATACTCTAGATTTAAAATATCTTCCCACCCCAACTGGTTACCTTTCAATAAGACCTCAGGCAGAATTGTTAAGTCTTTGAAATATAATTGACTAAAGCATGGTAAATAGACGAAGGCCACCTGTTTCAGCATTAAGTGTTGAACACCTATAGAAATGAAGGAATTAAACAAATCAACTCAATTAAAAATAATTAACACCTGTTGTGGTTTTCGTTTGAACAGGCTCAGAGTCTTTGCCTTCCCCATTATGGAGGGGTTGATGTCCGTTTTACTGGCATGGTTGACTGTTTTAGGCAAACTGTGAAGACCAAGAGCGTGCTCGGACTCTGGTGTGGACTCACAGCCAATCTGCTCAAGGTGCGGATTTCCTCCATTCTGATCAGTCTGTATTTAAATGCAATCTGAGACACATGACCAACCAATTGGTAGTTGGAACTGTAACACACATGATGTCCCTCTTCTCCTCTCCTTCTGAACAGTGTATTGATTAGACACTTTGTGACAGCAATGGTAGAGGTTTGCCCTTCCTCGGGTTACAATGTAGCTGTTTGAGCTTTATTGGTTTGGTGTTAATGGCCATCTGCAAGTTGATGGCTTTCATATGACACCATCCTCATCAAAAGCGTTCGAGGAAGTGGCAGAGCCTTTTGGTGGAAGTTTATTCAAACACACCTGGGAAATAACAGAGAAACAGCAGGGAAAATGGCTAAACATAAAGAGCCAGAATTTCAGCTACTGTAAGTCAGGATAGCTTCATTGACTCTGCTTGGGACAAAAGAAAGGACGCATTTCTGCCACATACAAAATGCATCCCAAATGTTCTGTTAAAACAAATCTTAACTGTTTTAAACATTATTAAGTTCAGCACAAGCCCACTTCCTCACAATAATTTGCTAAATCGGGTTGTGCCTATAATAAACCAAGTCTTAACTCAGTCTGGTACCTGTAGAATGGCACAACTCATTTAGGGTCAGATTCTCAATTGGTGTAAATCCGCATTGCTGATGAGGCCAAATCAACAATGAAGTCCTATAAATCCTAGCTTTGTAACTGAGTAGAGAATATTGATAGTGACTCTAAATTAATAACTGGTTTCAATCTTCTTTTTTTCCCCCACAGATTGTCCCATACTATGGTGTTATGTTTAGCACCTTTGAGTTCTGCAAGCGGGTCTGTCTCTACAGAAATGGTTACATTGAATCTCCCTTAAGCTACAAGCTAATTCCTGGAGTGGACCAGAGTTTACAACCACAAGAGTTGCAAGAATTAAAGTTCCTCCGAAGAGGAAATTTTGAGCCACCGAAGCCAACTCTTGAAAATTGACATTGGAAAGTCCATTGAACAAATGTATGTTGCAGTCATTCTCGGCCAAGTCCACAATCTGAAGAAAGCGTAGCAAAAAGGAAGACACATTGCACTCACGGTAGCAGCACCTCCGTTTACTGTATGGCCTTCCCTGGGATTGAAACGCCCATGTCAAACATGACTAAACCTTGTAACTCATGTAGTGAATTGATACAATCAATTCAAGTTTATCTGAAGGATACAAACATTTTGAAACTACAACAATATTGGAACTTGAAATCTACTCAGTTTGGGGGTTTTCAGTGCTGAATAGCTTTTTAATGCTAAAACCACTTGCAGAAAATAAGTGATGAGAGCCATGATCAGGAATTATAATTCATTCAAAAATATTAGGGAAGTTTAAGTACATTTGTAACACTTGAGAGCACTGAACACATAGTTTCAGAATAGATATATGGTTAAAAGTAGAATAAAATATATAATGTGTACAGTACACATTTCTACTGAAATCTGTCTGTTACTGATTCAATATAGACTTGGCATTCTGGATATGCAGTATTTGTCCCCACATAATTCACATTGTTGTCCTCCTAATTCTGGTTTTAATTTCATCCTCCTAATTCTGGTTTTCAGCTTTTGTAAAACTTATTTAAGAACTGAATAATTTTCTGAGTCCCCAGTTGCAAAGAAAAATGAAAACATGCTGCAGAGGTACTCTTGCAAAGAGAGAACAGTAATATGTGAAACAGCACTGAAATGATCATCGAACAGTCCGAAATGCAAACTGAGATGTCTCTCCCCACCCTGACCTATTTCTGCAAGTACCTGAATTATTTCAGCTTTGGGGGGAAAACAAGACTGTTGATATGCTGTGGTCATTTTTGTTATGACTAACTCTATCTCGTACTGTGTGAAAAATGCACATACCAAACGCATTAGATATTTCAGTGTTAACCCCCTTATATGTTTGTCAATATTTTTAAAGGTGTATTTTATATTAAAATAATTTTCAGAGATGACACTTTTATGGTCAGAGCTTAGAACGCTACGATGCAATACTTAACCTCACCATCTCCTTACAGACACAAACAGGAGTGGTCCTCTTTAACTGCTGTGACCTATAAGTCGATGTATTTTCATGCTTTTCTGAGGAGGGGACCTCACAGATATAAAACGCTAAGGAATGCTATAGCATGAGGACTAGTTTATTCACAGCTTAGATAAGTGTCCTTCAGGGGCCAGCCCTCAGATCACTAAGAAATGGGTGCTGGGATCCTGATTCTTCCAGAAAAAGTATAAAATTTCTCTATGCGGCATTGTGCCACCCAATCGCATCTGGCACAGCATCCCTGATTCCAGGTGCCCTCATTGCAGCAGTGTATATCACTCAGGCTCTGTGAGGCAAAGGGTAGTCAGTGGCACTGAGCTATCCTCCCTGACAGAGAAATAAACCTTTGCTCACGCGAGGAAATGTAAAGAAGCAGTGGGTAGAAGACGGTGTTTAAATTCAATCTTAGATGTAGGGAATAAAGCCCTTGAGAGCCAGTATGAAAGCGCCCTTATAGAACACTTTTACAACAATGAGTAAAGTCTTACAGCAGCCCTGTGACAGCTGAGTATTAATGACCCCATTTAACAAATGGCTCTCCTTGTCTTCTTTGCCCGAGTTCAGCCCTGCTCTAAGCTGGTGCTTTCAACTGTAGTTGCTTCCAATTATACCAGAGCTGAATTTGATCCAGAAAGGTTCAGGGCTTTACCAAAGACCATACACCAAGACACTGGAAGAGCTGGGTCTGGAATTTGGCCTTTCTTGCTTCCCAATACTCTGATGAATCCAGCACACTGTATTCCCTTAGCTTAGAATGGTAATATTTTTAATATTGATCCTTTTATGCATGTGGTTTCTAATAAAGAGATGTCGATCAGAAGAAGCAGAGTAGACCATCAGACTGTGTTAAGAGCTGAGCCTAGAAAGGCTGCCCAAAGTTAACTAAGATAGATTAGTTTCAGAGTAGCAGCCGTGCTAGTCTGTATTCGCAAAAAGAAAAGGATGAAGTGAGCTGTAGCTCACGAAAGCTTATGCTCAAATAGATTTGTTAGTCTCTAAGGTGCCACAAGTACTCTTTTTCTTTTTGAAAGATAGATTAGTCTATCTCATATTTTTTTATGAAAAGCTGGTTGACATGCTTGGCAGACTTGACTGGGCCATAGGACTGTTCAATCCTAACTGGTTTTGGTGGGTTCTGCTACCTTAGCACTTTCTACCAATTTGATTTTCCTAGAATAATCTTGATCTGATTCCTCTGACCTGAAGGGAAATACTTTCATAAACAATTATATTAATTTCAGAAAAACTCAAAGCTGTACACTGTGTGACAGTTACAGATTATTACTCATTTGTAGGTGACAGGAGGAGCAACCAGATGCTTAATATCCTTACATAGGTCACCAATAGGCTTGTCCTTTATATTAATGTTCCATTTATAAACAAAATGTAGAGGGTTAATAAATGAATAATTGTTTTAATAAATGATCAATTGATAGTCTAGCAAGTCCATCAGTTATTTATAAATATCTTTAACACCTTCTCCTGGTGTGCTTATAACCATCTATATTGTAACATCGTTATATTTGTTAATCATTTATAAAGTGTGACCACAAACCCTAAGCCATACAACACCCCTAAAGACTATGCCGGGAGTATTTCACGCAGTACTGAAATGAAGCACTGCTTGTATAAAATGCAAGACCTGTATAAGAGTTTCCAATAGCATATAAGAAGTGAAGAATATCATGAAAGTGGAGAGGAAACAGCTAGGCAGAATGTAACTGAGGTGAAATTTGGATTGATGTCCAGGCTTAGCGCCCTTCACTAACAAAGATATTAGGGAACATTTAAAACTGAGATCTCGATCCTTGTATTAACGTCCAGGCTGATGACCACTCACTTCCCCCATGCTGACTGCTCCCTCCACTAACTGCATATTACAGTCACGCCCCCACAGGCACAGTTATCTTTGTTCTTTATCCCATCAGTTGTTCAGTTGAATGATAGTCCTAAGGTTGATACTTATTTTATTTTATAGTCACTGGCAGGCTTTTGGCCTTGGACCCCTTGTCTGAATAGTTAAACTGGCACTCTAACCTGAGCCTCTGTGACTGGGTGAAATCAGTTTTCCGAAACTTTCTCTGTCAAGAAATGGTTTTATGAAAGGCATGAAAGCTCACCTCATATATTCCCCTAATGAGTATGAGTGGAGTGAAGCCTTAAAAGTTTCTCCTGATCAGCTCTGAATGGAAGAACTGATTTTATTATTTGCTAGTCTTATTCATTCATATCTTTGTATTCTTTCCTGTTTATGAGGTGGGTTTGTTTGGTTTTTTTTACTATTTTTTAGGCATTCTTAACCCTGGAGATTAAATTCATGTAGCACATTTGATGGCTTGAGTTGATGTAACAAAAAATAGACTGGACAAAGACACTGAAAAAAAATATGCAGGGAACAGTCCTTCACTGGAAGGCACATGGACTAGATTAAGGTTTAAAGTGGGCTGTTATACCTCTGCCCTCCCCCCAAAGTTGGAGAACTCTGAGGTGGGATTGAATCAGGTAGCCTGGTGCAGAGGAAGGTCTATAAAAGTAGTTAAACACACTGAGAGAAAAATTTTTTGTTGGGCAATGACCGACCTGGCAGGGGCCATGACAGGCTTTTTTGTGAGCCACCTTTGAGCTCTGCTCTCCAGTATCCCATAGATCTGGTCCAGCCCCAGTGACCATGACTCTGGGAAGCATCCCTCACAGTATGTGCACCTCGGGGCCCACCCACCTTCTCCGCCCCCCAGGCGCCTGTGATCAGTGACTCAGGCCTGAGGTTTTGTGGGGGTGCTCCCGGTCCCAACCCTGTTTCCACGGCGACGGTGCCACAGGCCGATGCAGGCGGTCGCTCTCCCCTCCGTATTTCCCCGGGGGTTGCCTAGCAGCAGCCTCTCGCTCGGCGTCACGGCCGGAAACCCAGAGCAGCCCCTTGCCGGCCGCAAAGCCTGCCCCAGGGCACAGAGCCCGGCCTTGCCCTGCCAGTCCCCCCACGCCCTCCGACCCACAGGCCGTCCCCGCCGCGCCACGTGGGGGGAGGCGACAGCCAGGGTCCCCCCCCGCCCCCCATTCCCAGCCGGCCCCTCCCCGGCCCAGCCCCCCAGCTCCAAGCCAATCAGCGGGGTGGGAAGCTGCCCGTGCGTAGCTCCGTGCGCCTCCCGCCCCGCTCGCTGGAGCCCGGGCGGGGGTTGTATATAAACCGGCCATTGCCGCAGCTCGGCCTCAGAGCCCGCGGGCCCCCCACCAGCCGCCTCTCGCTCCCCGGGTCTAATTTATTCACCTTCCCGCCCCCGCCATGGCCGACGCCGCCCTGTCCTTCGCCAAGGATTTCCTGGCCGGGGGAGTGGCCGCTGCCATCTCCAAGACCGCCGTCGCCCCCATCGAGAGAGTGAAGCTGCTGCTGCAGGTGGGTTTGGCGGCGGGGGGGGCGGCGGTGCAGAGCGCGGGGCAGGCCTGGCATGCGCCGGGGGCCCGCCCGCCGGCGGGGATGGAGGGATGGATGAATGAATGGATGGATGGATGAATGGGCTCCGGCCGGGGTTGGGGCGGGCGGGCCCCGAGTGCTCGGGGAAATCCCGGGGACCGGCCGCCGGCCGCGGCTTTGTCTGGAGCTGGGACGTGGCCGCGTGGCGCATCCGCGAGCCGGGGAGATGCCGGGGCCCTGAGCCGCCTCCCAAGGTCGCGGCAAGGAGAGGGCAGGCCCGGGCATCCCGGCTTGGGAGAGGGAGCTGGGCCGCCGCAGCCAGCGCGGTCTGTGCCCGGGGCGAGGCTCCGCTGCCCCCCGCCCGGCCCAAGGAGCCGGTCTCCTTGGCCCTGTGCCGGCGGCTGGGCGCCCCCCCACCCGGCTCCCCGGGCGGTCCCCGGGCGCGGAGAAGCCGGAAACCACCCGCCTGCCTCGACCGGCTGCCGGAGCCAGCTAGTTCCGCTTATGCAAAGCGGTGCCGGGCCCGGCTCCGGGGGGGGGGGAGCGGAGCAGCCTCCGCCCCGGCTCCTTCCCCTCCGGGCTGGAGGCTGCGTCGCCCTCGTGCTCTGGGCCCAGCGGCGCCCCCGGGCCCAGCCGTGGGGTCTCGGCCCCCCGAGTGAGCCTCCATCGACTCTCCGCTTCCGAGCATCGTGCGGTAAAACCAGCGCGCAGAGCCACGCAGGCACAACACGCAGCCTGAGGAAAGCAAAGAAGCCCGGTGACCTTCCAGGCCAAACGACCCCACTCTCCTCTCCCCCCCCCTCCCCCAAAAAAAACCCCCTCCAAAAAGATAAAGGCAGGCTACTAACTAAGCTTTGCTCTCCAAAGTAGACAGCACATGCAACTCTGATCTGGGGTGGATCACGGTAAATTGCTGCCTTTTGGGCACTATGGAAAAAATCCAGGGTAGCAAAGCATATTTTGCTTTTGAAAAGAAATTCACGTGCAGTTTTGCGCTAAAGATGTTCTTTCTGGCTGCCCACAGTAGGTAATCCGCCTTATTGTCAAACTGTCATCAGAATGATGTGACAAGTGTAGGGAGGAGGGTTGCTCTAGAAAATCCTAGCAATTCTAAATGGAGACAGGAAGATCTTTATTACTACCCCACCCTAAGAGAACAGCACTTCCTGTTTCTGGGTCAAATGAATGGCAGGTGATCACCTTGGAATTCAGCACTTTACCCTCTCTCTGTATTCCAGGAGTCTATTGCACTGACATCTGCTTAGAGGACAGTGAAACTTCTCACTGAAGCAGCCTAAGACTTTCATGACACTGATATAATTAGGCCTGGCAAACTTAATTTTTATTTTTTTATATATTTTTTTTAACTTGCATGCTTTTCACAGTTGCAGGGAAATTATGGGAGATCAGACAATTTAATGAGAGTAGTCACTGAGATTCAAAAAGCTAAAGCCTTATAACCATGAACACAAAATGGTAAAATATCCTTGAGTATAATATCCTTAACTCAAACCGTGAGGTCTCAAGTAGCATTTTTCTTATGTTGCCTTATCTGTAAATTGTGATTATGAATTGTGTGTGCAGTGAAATCAAAATTTACCGGTACAAATATAATCCTTCCACGCCTGGTTATAATGAGCGAAGTTCAACAATAACTCACTCTAGCTTGTCTTGTCACCAAATTTAAGAGATCTACACTTAATCTTATCCTCATTCTTGTTTACTAGTAATTCATGTTTTCAATACCAAATCTGTCATTTCATTTATAATTCCTCTAGCTTCATAGGACCAAGCTTATTTTATTTCATAACAAGCTTTCAACATTTCTGGCCTAAATGGATTTTCTTCAAACGTACTTAATCTCCGTAGAGGAAGACTGTCTATCCAGACCGCGGAATCAGACGTTAATTATCAAATGCAAATTAAAGCAAACATTTCTACCAAGTGACAACCATGAAACTTCATCAGTCCAGATCTTCAGCCTTGTAATTTTATCAGCACAATGATATTAATCCATCTTCTTCTACTGTTTTACAGGTGCAGCATGCAAGCAAGCAGATTGCAGCAGACCAGCAATACAAGGGCATCATTGACTGTGTTGTCCGTATCCCCAAAGAGCAGGGTGTCCTGTCCTTCTGGCGTGGCAACCTGGCTAATGTGATCAGATACTTCCCTACTCAGGCCCTCAACTTTGCTTTCAAAGACAAATACAAGCAGATCTTCCTGGGTGGCGTGGATCAAAGAACCCAGTTCTGGCGTTACTTTGCTGGTAACCTGGCATCTGGTGGTGCTGCTGGTGCTACATCTCTGTGTTTTGTCTACCCTCTTGACTTTGCCCGTACCCGTCTGGCAGCTGATGTGGGTAAAGCTGGAGCCGACAGAGAATTCAAGGGTCTTGGTGACTGCCTGGTCAAGATCTTCAAGTCTGATGGTCTTAAGGGCCTGTACCAAGGCTTCAATGTATCCGTTCAGGGTATCATTATCTACAGAGCTGCCTATTTTGGCATCTATGACACTGCAAAGGGTAGGTCCTTTGAACTAACTTCTTAAAATGCAGAAGAAGCTAAACAACATTAAGGCTGTTAGAAGAAACTCTAGACTCTAATGCAGAAAAATGATTTACTTTGGTATTATAATATACAGTGATTTGGTGGTGTTAATCTGATCTCCTCCCTCCCATAGGAATGCTTCCTGACCCAAAGAACACCCACATCGTTATCAGCTGGATGATTGCTCAGACAGTTACTGCTGTTGCTGGTTTGACCTCCTATCCATTTGATACTGTCCGCCGTCGTATGATGATGCAGTCAGGGCGTAAAGCAAGTATGTATCTAATTCCCATGTAGAACATAATGTGGGTGGGCATTCCCAAAAAAACCTCTCTGTCCAGAGATGCAAGATGGGTGCAGAGAACTCTATCTCTGTTTCAAGGCCCGTGGGATCAGAAGGGTTTGGGCAGGCAAGACTTCATGGTTCAGAAGTGGACTCTTGTAAATGGATGTTGGTTTTCTTTGATGCCCTGACTAGCCAG